ATCGAATCGAACTCATGTAAATCTAATAATTTTCACTTCGGTAAATCGAACTCCAAACCAAATCAAACCGAAACTAAACTCATACACAAATGATTTTAGTTTGGTACAATATCTCCCAAACCGAATAAACCGAATCGAAATCGAAGAATACCGAACCGTAAATCGAATAGACCACCCCTAATAAGGTGTGTCATTTGTATTCGAATTTTTTTAAACGGGTAAATATTTTATAATTTAAAAATATAAACTTCTGTTTATAGGGGTGGGTATGACCCCTCATTCGACTTGATTATTGTAACGCCCGTACTTTTATCTATTTCTTATGTGTTAATCATTCTCATTATGATCATGTTTTAAATTATGGTTTTAATGTTATATATGTGAATATGAACTTTGTGATAATTATATTTGAATTCACATGCTTGTATTATGTCTGAACGTGACAGGCGACGGTATCCGATGAGCAACGAAACTGCACTGTAATAATCATTCGTATTTTTGAATGTAATGGTATATCAAGTTATTTGTCATGTTAGATAGTATTTGGGTGTTTAAAATATATTTTAAAAAGGTCATTGGGGGTCTAGGATGGGATCGACAACGATCGGGGTCGGTTTAGGGCGAAAAATGACGTTTTCGGCACCCGATTGGCCTCAAACCGGCGCCAGTTGGACCTGGACCGGCGCCGGTCCAAAACAGAAACTTTAGGGTGCGGGAATGGCTGGGCAACCGTCGCCGGTCAGGGGCAAACCGGCGCCGGTTCGTTCGGGTTTGGCTGTGTCGGTCAAAAACGTTTTTAAGCGCAAAAAATCCCCTTTTCAACCCAAAATCGATCTCAGCTCGTCCTTCTCTCTACAAATCAATCTCAAACCATTTCTAGGGTGATTCAAGCTCAAATTAAACATATTATTCATCAAAGATCATCACTTGGTAAGATTTTTACATTTTACATGAAGAATTCTTCTATATTTGATCCATAGTTCTTGTTTTGGGATTTAACTAGGGTTGAGTGAACTTTGGGTTGATTCTAGGAAAATTAATGGATTTTCTTGATAGTAAGATTGTTTTGAAGTTGTTGTTTAGCTTGGATTTAACAAACTTCAATTTATTCTTGTATAACTAATTATTCCAAAATTTTACTAAGTTGATGAAAGAATTTGGGGAAAATTCTTACTATGTATAGGTTGATTCTAAATAGATATATATATAAACTGATTTTAATTAGATGTATAGAATTCTTGATAGTATGATTATTGGTTAGTTATCGTTGACTCTTGAGTATGAAGTTCAATCGGGAGTTGGTTAGCTAGTTACCCAAAAATTTGACCGGTTGAGATTAGGAGTTTTAGAAGTCTATCATGTTCGGGAGCTGGTTGTTTGTTGAATTCCCCTTATGCCTAAGTTTTAAGGTTTTGGTTACAAACATGAGGTTTTGTTGATCAAATTTAAACAATGTATATATAGTTGCTCAATCGAAGAACCGTTGCCCGTGGACGCTTTATACGCACGATCAAGAGTAAAAACTCCACGTGAATCAGGTAAGTCACCACCACCTATACATGATAGTTTGAAATGAAAAGAAATGGAAGTCTAGCTACCTATGAATTGGATAGGTTGGCTCGAATACTTGAAATTGTATGGTATGATATTATGTGAATGCCATGTTACGTGTATATATTGATAGGTGATGTTGATGGAGAACTTGTTGAGTTATCAGTGTAAGTTATCCAAGTTTTATGTTTATGGTTAGGTTGGATTTATATGGAATCCAACAATGAATGAAAGTTGTGTTGATAATGATATCTAATGAATGATAAGAAATGTTTTAAGGTAGCCGTTCCCCCAAGTAATTACCTGAGCTGAACGGAGCGGAATCTCCTTCCGCGGGGAGTCCCGGGATTACTTCTGATGGCTGCGGGCTAGCTATCCAAGGTCATTAGCAAGGGGCCAGGACACGAGCTACGGGCCCATTAAGTCAAGTAGCAAGATAGGAAGAAAGAATGATGAATGAGGAAATCTTTTAGATTTCGTTATGTGAAGTCATGCTTTGCATGATATGAATATGCTATGTGTGGAGTATTCTAGCTTATGTATCTAATTAAGGCTAGCTAAGACTCCGTTATTTTAGTGGATGTAATGGTGACTTACTAAGCAAATTTTGCTTACGAGACTTCTGTTCTCTTGTGTCTCATGTATAGGTAATGAATGAAGAGTGGAAGCCTGAGAGAATGTTCGGGCGGGATGGCGAGGTTGTGGATGGGTTAATAGATGCGACCTGGCTGTGTCTCATGTTTTGTTGTTTTAAAATGACACTTTTATGAGTTGTTTTATGTTTTGTTTTAAAAATCATGATCAGGTATGATGACTTTGTGTTAAGCGTGATAGTTGTTGGTCTTTGACATTTCAGTTATGGAGTTTTCTTATGTACATAAGAAATAAAGTTTCATGACGAGACTTTGTATTATGTAATATTCCGCTTTGTATATTGAGTCTTGTTTATGCTAAGTATGGTAATGGCCGTTTGGGAACGGTCGTTACAATTATGGAATTCACAATTTGACAATTCGGTTTACGGTTCATCTCCCACCCCCACCCCCACCCCCACCCAAGCGCAATGGTCTCCTTAGCTATGATAATTTTTAATGAATGGAGGATTATGATTGTTGTAGTTTGCAATGAAGCACCCCTAATTATGTTGATGTACCCGTTTAATATTGATGTATGGAGGATTCTAGTTGCTTAAATTTGTGCTAATGTATGCACTTTAGAATGAAGTTGAGATGTGATAAGTTCATATTCTAAAGCACTTTAATGCATGGGGTGAGATTGTGAGAAGCCATTTTACACATTTCTAACACAATTTATTGCATTGTTTTGCTAATGTTTGATGTATCATGTTTTACCTCGACTCTCAATGTTTTTTGAAGGTTTTTTATCAGGGGGTGAATAAAAACAACTCAAGGTGGACTTTGGAGATGAAGAGGGAGAGTTAGAGCACGAAAGCGATTATTCATACCAACTCACAATATCAAATCAGGACGGCATTTTATTCATGACTTGATCTTATATTATTACTAGAAACTTCAAGTTACTCCGTTCAAGTTCCATATGAAAGATAAGCCAATAAGGTAAAAATGTTAAGAATACGTCATGGTTATAATATGAAAGGGTCAAGATCAAACAAGTCGATGAACTCAAATGTTTGTTGGTGAGGTTCCATGATGATACTTGTCTATATTTCAGTCATATCATTTGATTGATGATCTAAATCAAATGATTCATATAATGGTGGATGGAAGACTTAATCACCTACAACTTTTCTGAAAAAGAATTTTCAAAGTCACTTCTAAGTGCCCATTGGAATGCACACGTGTGCGCGTACACCGTTGTGTAGAAGAAGGAAGAATTGTTAAAAGGCGTTACAGTCTTTAAATGCCCAACATTCTTATATTTTAATGCTTCTTTAAATGGACAGTTTTCGACACATTAATGCCCAACGTGCTGGTCATTTATGTCCAATGTCCAGGTCAATTAAAGCTCAGTTAACACACCACAAATCTGTCCCTATATATACCTGGCAGGTGTTTGCAACGAAATGCATTCATACACAGTCTACACGTAGTTTTTGAGCTAAAACACACCTCCTGCCGTATTCTGAAATATTCTTGAGTGTTCTTACTTGGTTTCCGTTCGCTAGAACAATTTGTTGAGTGCTCAAACAATTGTTCGTAGTCATTGTATCCCGGGAAACGATCATTGCAACGCTCCTAGCACCTAGGGTGACAACGAATACGTTTTAAAGACATCGTGCATATCACGAACTTTGGCTAATCTCTGTCTCATCTATTTTCCGTTTTTCTTTGGCTATTTTATTAATTAATTAATTTTATTTAATTAATATTTCTTCATTTTTCCGAGGCACACCCAACAAAACATAATCACTTATACACAAGAAACCTTTTAATGAGTAAGAAACCAATTATTGTTAATTATCGTTCATATACATGTTATGTGCAATGTTTTTCTCCCATGTTGTACTCGGAATTGATTTAGTCAACAAAACAATGCGATGTGATTATGTTTGGAAATTCTTCTTTATATTATCAAATCTTTTATTAAGTGCAATACAAATCTACACGTGGCTCATATATTACAAATTGAAACTATGTTGGCAAGTGAGTTGTGTGAGCCTGGAACGTGTGTTAATCAATTGTCATCTTTACATCATTCATTTACAATTCATTGGAACTCTCATCATAATTATGATATGAGCATGCTAATAGCGTATAATTCAAGTTGCAAAGTGTCCTTGATTATTGCTTCATAGTATTGAGACTTTTAAATTTGCCTTTTTATGAGAACAATAACAGGAATACATAATACTAGTATATTGTTTCATAAGTTTAAAAAATATTTTATTTCCATTTTGGCTTATATATGCCACAACTTCCAAATCTCTTCTTCGTGAACTAATGGATAAAGTGGATAATATACTTATGCAAATGAATTATTTTTGTGGTATAAACATAGTATCATTATACATGATATGAAGAATAAACTACATTAAGGGCGAAACGAGATGGAAGTTGAGAGTTATTAATGTTTGGAACATGTTATCTAGTCCATAACATTTCAAGTGGCAGAGTTGAATTCGAGTTTTAATGAAATATTTGTTAGACTTATTGAGCTTATTGTGGCGTAGGACCCGAATAATTCTTTTGATTCATATAACGTCAATCATATATAAATCTTGTTGTGGACCAGTTTTTCCTATTTGTTTGAACAACATGAACATTGTGTTTTAATGAACTTTAAAAAAATGATTCACAAAGGTTATATATTTCATTTAAAGACGATCAAATATTACGATTATAATTGAAAGAGGATTTCCAGCAATGAAGCATGTAAAGAGTGCAATTCAAAACAAGATGCATGATGAGGTTTTTGGTGATATAGAATTGTGTAATTGTCATTAAAAGACCATTAATGATTGATCTAGGCCATAACACTTCACTTTACAATAACACGTATTAATAAGTAATAAAGAGTTGACACACAATACAAGTTTAACAAGGTAGTTCACTATTAATATTTATAATGCACGTGTACACATTAGTGGTATGATCACAAATCTCTCTTTCTCTGCCTCTCTACATTTAAAACAAGTAGGGAAAGTAGAAAAAAGGATACCAGAATTAACAAACTTATAACTGAAACAAGAATATTTGAAAAATAAGTGTCATATATATTAGAAAAGAGGAAATTAAACCTACAAAAGCTTTTCAACATCAGTGCCTGGAACTCACCCGAGGAGAGTGTTAGCAATAACCGAATCAGTAACGGTGTGGTTAAAGGCTACATGCTCCTCCCACTCTCCCATCGACCTCTCCGCAGCGACCGGACAGTTGGTTCTTGTTCTAGGCCTTCCTGCAGGCTCCTCTATGACCTTCCTCTTGTTACTATTAATGCTATTATTATTATTATTATTTTTGTTGTTATTATTAGTATCAGTTTGTGGTTGATGATGTTCTGTCTCTGGTTGTGGCTGCTTCAATGGACATATTTGTTGTAGAAGTGGAAGTTGTGTCATCAACAATGACTGAACATCTTTAGCAGTGACACATTCAACTGAGGACTCTGATTCTGCTTGATTTGCTGATAAAGTGTTGTCATCAATCTCCTCTGGACCCTCTGGTTTGTGATGTTTTTGGCATCTGGTTTTCATCATATGAGGTTTCAGCTTGTCAACATCTGATAACCTCACTGGCTTTAAGAAAAACTCCTCTGCCCCTTCCTCTAAGCATCTGTGTTTTTTATTTTTCAGAACCTCATTATCATAAATTCGATCTTATTCAATTCCATCAAGTTGAGAAGAGAACATTTGGATAGGAATAAACATATTTCATCATGCATTATGTTCATACCTGCTGATTCTTGAAGGAACATTCTCAGATGACATGATGACTACTGGTATATTTCTCAAAGCTGCGGATTCCTGTCAGAGAATAAGCATAGCCAGATCGAATTAACTCATTTTTCACTTGATCCGTTTGGCAACCAACAGCTAGTTTTTTTTATAAAAAAGATACTCCTTTTCTACTTATTAAACACTGATTTATTTTCGACAAATTCTACTATTCCCTCAAGCTTGTACGTCATGTTTATTTTAGAATATTGCAATTCAACGATTTAAACACTACTAAATAATGATATAATTACTTGAATTAATCAAATGTATTATCGGATGGCCGTGAAGACATATGTATTATAGGTATCATATATATTGTAGTTGCAATATGCTCACGCACCCGGTGAGCGTAGCTCAACTGATAGCTAGAGAGAGTGTGACAAGGGTTAGGTCCCGGGTTCAAATCTCGTCAATTAGGATGATAGGTTACTATGCTAAAAATACATAGGACCTCTGCAAATACCGGAGACAGAGCCCCACTCTGTATCTGTCAGATTGAGATTATAATCCAATTTACATACTCCCTTTTTTGTAATATGCTCACTTATTATCGACCAAAAAAGATGTCAATAAGGCAATTAATGTGTACGTTATGTTTACGTTGGGAGTACATTTTTAGAGTACCTACCTCAAGAACATTTGAGATGACATGTAGAACAAATCAATTAATTTCTTTGGGAGTACATCTTTAGATAATTTTTACTACAATTAATTATCTACTACCTTCGTCCCAAAAAGAAGTTTTCACTTTCCTTTTATGGATGCTCAAAAAGAACTTAGCATTTCTATAAAAGGAAATTACTTTTATCCAAAAGTCACAACTATTCTTACTTTTGACCCACTTTTTTCTTGATTTGACATAAAGTAAGGGTAAACTTGGAAGGTAAAAAAAACTCTACCTTACATAAATATGATTGTAGGTCAAACCGAAAAATTCATTTCAGGAGGGAAGGAGTAATAATTTGTACTACGTAGAACATAACTTGAATTATTTTTACTACAATTAACTATCTAAAATCATTAAGTTTGGAATTTGTAGCGTTAAATAACACTTTGTCATAATAATAATAAAAAGGAAAAAAATCCACTTTTGATTCCGTGACTATTATACCACTTTCACATTTAGTCCCTTACTTTCGGATTGTCTACATTTAGTTCGTGACCATTATCCTCCCACCATCCCTCATCATTTTGGCCAAAATTCCGACAAATTTAATGTAGATTTTAGGTATGAAAAACCAAATTTAATGCAAAGACTAATATGAAAAACCCAACCTTATATAAAATTTAATGCAAAGACTGATTCAGAGGTTGATAAGTGGACTAAATTTGCTGGAATTTTGGCCGGAAGGACGAGAGGTGGTGAGGAGATAATGGTCATGGGCTAAATGCGGATATTCTGAAAGTAAGAGACTAAATGTGGAAGTGTTATAATAGTCATGGGACCAAAAGTGGAATTTTTTCTAATAAAAGTACCAAAACGGATAAGCTATCGTGCATCGTAGTATTTCTTTTTAAAGCACTTATTCAAAATGTGCTTTTTATAATTAATTAATACAAACGAACATCATCTCAATTTTCAACACATACAAGTTGATACCAACCATCACACGACTTGTTAATAATGAAGTCACTATTATTAAATTGATCAAAAAAGGTGGAATCTCCCATCTCAGGAGCCTCCACCCCTACCTGACAGGATGGTGGACATGTTAGTCACGGTGACTCAGTCAGCAGAATGACAGTAGCTCATACACCCGTGCGCACAAGAGGTCCAACCTTATTTCAGGTTCTGTGACCTCAATCCGGTCGCTGCGTGGATTCGAACCTTGGTTCATTGATCCAAATCTCTCACCACTCGACCAACTGAGCTACTCGTGCGAGTAAGTCACTGTTATTAAATACTATGACTTGATGACAAGAAAAATCTCGAATGTACCAAAACGAAATAAATAGCATGTACTTAGTAATGAACAATATGACAACAGATACCCAATTTGGTAGAGATAGAGAGGTGTGATCACAGCAATTGCCTTTCTAACGTACGTCTAATAATGAATACATAGGTGGGCAAGATTTCCCCAAGATTCTCATTGATTTCACAAAAAGAAATTCAAAGCTAAAAAGTGACCCCACTTGAATTGGATGATTTACCACTCTCTCCTGGGATGATCTATAACTTGGCTTTTGGGTATGACAACTTGGTGCAAAAATATCCCTCACATTTTTATAAGGAGCAAATCATTATTTTTTTCATCTTAAATGAAGCACTTCAAATTCATTAATTTTAATTTTATTCTTTTTGTGAAATTTTGAACAAATTGTTACATTTTTTGAAATAACATTCTTTGATTTCGTTTAGTCTTAATAAAATTAAATTCACTATTTTGTAATCTTGGACTATTTATCATTATACAAAAATATGTGATATTATAGTGCAAAGAATGCAAAAAAAATATCTTTTTACATTGCAACAAATATGTTAACACTTTTTCGAAAGAATCTTGAATATATAGTAAAGTTTTGAAATAATATTTTATACTAACAATATTAAATTGTGATATACAAACAATAAAAGCGAGAATTGAACACAAGTACATTTTTCAAAAATTTTAATTTTTAATATCGAAGTTATTATTTATTTTTAGTGTTTTTTGAGATTTATTGTATCCATGTAAAGTCAATAATTGTAAATTTGCTCTTTTATAAGAACATGAAGGATATGTTTGCACCTTTTAAAAGTTCAGGGGTATATATGCACTTAAGCATATACTTCAGGGTATAATTGTTCCGAAAAATAGAACAAGAGTATATTTCTTTCCACACCCATATAATCAAAATAACTGAAGTTGAAGTTACTTTTCTGACTGGATTGACTGAAGTGACCATAGATGATTATTTTAACTATTTTTCACATATTTTTTCTTTATTTTATTAATAAAACATATTTTAAAATATAAATTTTACATAATTCGGCACATTCAACCAATTAGCCACTTTAGAAAGAGTTTCATAAATTTCAGTAAAATCAACTGAGTCAACCAATTTCAATGTTATCAAATGGACTCCGTAATTAACGAGATCGGGTGAATGTGCTCATATTGGGTCCGTTTGGATAAACAGCGGGAGCATCAATCCGTTGATTCTTTTATACATGAAAACGTTGCTAAAAGCAGCGGGATGGTGACGATTAGCTGAAAACCAAACAACACCATTATATTGTTACATTTGTAGCTCAAATGATTAAATTTGGTAGATCTATTCAATTATGAAAAGGCTAAAATAGAGTGAACAGGCTTAAGGCTTATTTAGAAATCCGCCCAAAACTCTCTCTTACTAATTTTAGTTAATTTACCTGTGTTTTATTAAATTAAAAAATTGATTGACAAGGTATAATTAAATAAAATGTGTTACCGGACCTCTATCTTCATTTTCAAGGAACACAAAAGCAAAGAAAATGTTATTTATTATATCCATGTGACCATATACTTCGTATATAAATATATCGATAGATCGAAAAATAAAAAATACTACATACTACGTATAAATTAAGAGAGAATATTGAACGCTATATAAGAGTAATTAATCCATATTTCGGTTTCATATAGAAACAATATCATGAAAATATCTACCAACATTCTATAATAGATACAAGTATCTACGACAATACTTCTTTTTTATAACAAGTTTGATTATCATGTGAAATAAAAAAGTAAAAGTTGTATATTTGAATTATGGGAAAAAGGGTCAAATAAGCTCTTTTACTATTTGTAATCCGTCACTTAAGCGTCTGTACTAAAAAAAGTATCATAGTACGTCTATTTTTAAAATACAATCAACCAAACCCTTTGACCTACTATAGCAGGTTATTTTTTTTTTAAATCAAATTAGGACTATTGATAAATCTCACAAAAATTCATATAAATCTGAATAAATAATCTAATAATAATATAAAAATAGTATAAATATAAAATAGATAAAATTTTAAAAAACATTAAAGTAAACAAAACAAAAAAATTATAAAACTGAAAAAATAATGTGAAAATAAAATAGAAAAAATAAAAACTTTAAAAACCTTTTAAATAGATGTCTAATATAAAAATATTTTTAAAAATTAAAAAATATTGACTTTGATATTCTGAAAAATTTTCACAATTTTTGTACATATTTCTTCAAATTTTAACAATTTTTAGAATCTTTAAGTATTAAAAACTTGCTATTACATGTCAAAAACTGATTAAATGGTCAAATTGGTCCATTTTGTAAAGTAGACACTTATATGATACTTTTTTAGTTCAAAGGATTAAATGACAGTTTGGAAACAGTAAAAGAACTTATTTGGACCTTTTTCTTGAACTTGAATTATGATATACTCCCTCCGATTCCTAAACAAGTTCCACATTTGACTTCACACATATTAAGAAAATAAATTTGACTTTACTGTGGAGTGCACTGTTTGACACCGTTTGAACACTGTTTGGCACTGTTTGACACCGTTTGACACTGTTTTGATGTAGATAATAAGGAAATGTTTGAAAGTGAAACTTAATTTTGAATCTGCCCGAAAAGGAAAGATGGAACTTGTTTCAGAAACGGAGGGAGTAGTCTTTAGAGTATAGAGTGATAATAAGAACTATAAATTAATTAGTTAAAAAATGTTTGAAAGTTTTTTGGCTGTAGTATATGGCGAATACCTTGATTCTTTTGAGCAAATCATAGCCGGTCATCCCAGGCATGCAATAGTCTGTGATGATAAGATTGACGTCCACCTCCTGCAATTCAATTCCCATTAAAAGTTTGCAACCATTCTTGATGTATACACCCTTGTATACACCTTCTACACACCATGTTTGTAAAGCTTTTTAGGATTCACAGACAATAGTTTGTTGGTGCAAAACATTGTCTGTGAATCGATGTTCACAGACAAAAAAAAAGCTTTCAAAGACATAGGTGTGTACAAAAGTGTGTATAAGAGTGTGTACAAACATCATTAAAAGTTTGCAGCTACAGATCAGCTCATTAAAAGTGACAAACACACAAATCCAAAATATTTAAACAAGCTAGCTAGCTTTATAGCTACCTGGTTGTGGTCGGATAAAACAGAAGGTTGGTTTGGGCTGGGCTGCCCATTTTCTGCTAATCCAAGAAACTCCAAGGCCTTAATACCGGAATCAACTGTAGTTACTGCAATGCCAAAAAATCAAAATCAGTTTCAAACTATCAACTCAATACTAACAATAACTATAATGATAAGTTATGGGGTTATTTGTTCATGTCTATGTTGTACGGAAACGCGAAAATCATGAGGAAACAGGAAACGGGAAATGTCAGTTTTTGCTAAAAACGCTTCTTTTGAGAGTTTCAAAGAGTTTCTTTAGAGTTTCCGAAATGGAAACACACTCTTTCCCGAGAGTTTCCGTGCTAACTAGATTCATGTACTTTCATTTGTATAGAATGAATGAAACAAGAAGTTGATGGAAATGAAGACCTTGACAAGAGGAGGTTATGAAAAGCCTTTCAACAAGCTTCCTATCAATGAGGCTATCATCAACCGCAAGAACATGAAACTGTGGTGGATTTACTGCAGCAGCCATTCCCATATTTCCAACTCAATCTCCAGAACTGGAAGATAAAATGAAGAAACAGGGGAAAAGAAAAGAAAAGAGAAGAGGATATGTGTGATGGGAAAAAGGTGCGTGGCTTCCTTCTTCTTGTTTTGTGGGTGAGAGAGTGTGGGTGTTTTTCCTCTCTTTTTCTCCCTACTTTTATAATGAAAAAGACCCACCAAAACGAAAACCCCACAAAGCAAGATCTGACCAGATTTCTTGCCGAGATCTCCACCCCAGTTTTCCAAGCTCGGTTTTGAATTACAAGGCAACCAATGGGAAAAAGACAATAAAAGAATATATTAATACCAAAGCTAATTAACTCCAAGATTGCATATCACGAGAGAACATGGAGATGGCTTAGCTTCTCCTTAAAAGTACGTATTTTTATTAGTGAATCGAATATTTTCTCGGTGGTTGGCCGGGCTTTTCATATATGCTCTTACGTAAGATCGAAAACCCGTCCAAGTGTATATTAAATGAGAGTTTTAGCCTTTTGGTGGTTTGACAAATAAAATATACAGAGGGGCGATTGTATTTTTCGACTGTATCTGGCTTGCTCTTTTTTTCACTCACTTGTTCAACTCTACATTTTTATAGAGAAAAACACTTTTCTACTATTTTAAAAATCACTCTTAATATCTTATTTCATATATCAAACTTTTATCAAATTTAGTTCTAATTCTTGCAACATTGTAAAGTTTTTCATGTAGATTCTGAATATGTAATTTTTTTCCTAAAATAATTTGGGATCGGATAATGATTCGTTTGCTTTATCGCCGATCAAACATCATAACTCGCAATGGGACAATAATAGGGGGATGTATGTAGTAATTTGTACGGAGTATTAGGTTTTTTCTAATAGTAATCAATATGACTAATAGTTACTACAATGTAGTGTACTGGTAACTTAAGTTTAAAAATGGAATATTAGTTATTATGATTTCTTTACTATTCTAGTTAGTGATCACATTTTTGTAAACAATATTACGTATTAATTTAATCATAAACATGTAATTATTTATTTATATTATACTCCGTACAAATAGGGCCACCCTCAATGAATTTGAGACTAGTCAAAACTCAAAATAACACTTCAAAAATACACGAAAAACATGAGTAAACGTATGTAGACACCCACAAATACTCCATCCGTCCCATGAAATAGTTTTCACTTTTCTTTTTGGGTTGTTCCAAAAAATAGTTCTCATTTTCTTTTTTGGAAAGTTTTGTGTGGCTATCATTCATTTATTTTTTTCTTACTCAATCACAAACATACATTTCCGTTTTATTTCTACTTTCTTAAACTACGATTCAAGTCAAAATGGAAACTATTTTATGGGACAGAAGAAATAATTTTTGAGGAAAAGTTTGAATATAATACAAAATATTTTACACTAAGTTTTTAGACAATTTCTGAATTCAATTTGGGCTCGGGCTTGGGTTCGCCCTCCCTTGTTACCCTCATGAACAAAACACATACGTCAATCTCGTCTTGGAACTTTGGAACCAAAAACCAATAAATCGAATCGGAACAATCCATAATGGTCCGATTCAGTTCCAACATTAATTAGTTATGTAGTACGTACTACGTAGTATTTATTAACAGTCCAGTTCCTATTTTCATTAACTGTTTGGTTCTTAGTTCCTATAAAAAACATATAAGTAGTACTTATTAGTATATATTTCAATATTTATTTATATATTAAATTCACTAATCTAGTTTAATTGATAGGGTTGATAATTTGATAAGTATTTAACCAATTCTTCTTGTAGTGAATGTTTTTTTTTTTGCTAAAAATCTTAATATGTCATGTACGTGGATATGTTTGAAACTTGAATTTGAGGGTTGGAATGATGGTAACCTTGAATGTATTTATACTTCTTTCAATTTCAAAACTTGAACGTCTTTATGTCACCTAATTGTTGCGGTTCTTAACTAAAGTGCAGCAAATAGGCAAAATCAATAGGTATTTGATGCGGTTCCTACACGACCGCAGCAAAAAGTTGAAAATTTGATATTTTTTTGTGCGATCGTAGAGAAACCACAACAAATAGTCTATATTATTTCAAATTTTGAATTTCTTTTGACTTTCTTGCTGCGGGTAGGAGAGAACCGCAGTAAATACAACAACAAAAAATTACGCCCTCTTCCGAAATCTGTTTTGAGGAGCGCTTCATATGGGGATTCTTCTTGACCTAATTTCTCTCTTTTCCTTCCCTTCCCATCTCTCAAGGAAAGAGTGCTCCTAATGTATTTTATCTGTTTCAGTGTGGATCGTCTCTTTGTCTATGGAGACCTTTTCAAGTACGGTTGGCCTATATTTGAATGAAAATGTTGTGTCCTCCAACGGAGCCTAGAAGAAGGTGACTCGCGCAGACAGCTGACTCCTTTTCAATAGAAAAGAATAGCCAAACCAACCCGTTTCTGGTGGGTCCGATGACACGATTAAGATTTACGACCTCTCCACCTGTTCCGAAATTGGCCAGCAGAACCTCGCTCCTTCATTGGCTCCAACTTCATCTTCTCTACACTTTCAGGGTCCACATAAAGGTATTTTCAATGTAAATGTATTTTCATTGTATTATAAATTATTATAGATATTAAGAATTTAAGAAAGGGATTGCTCGGCCTTCAACCGGACTTGACAGGGACTGCTAGGTCAATGCCTGTACAGGACCGTTGGGTCATTGACCGGACCACATAGGGACCGTCGGGTCGTTGGCTGGACCAAACTAGAACTGCCACCGGAGCGGGACCAGATCCACCACTAGGCGTAAGTATGCAAATTCATTGCAGCGGCACTGCAACATCCGCGTTTTCCAAATTTGGAAAACTAGTGTTGGGTTAATTGTCACGCCCCAGACCGCATCTAAGCGCGTGTACAACCGCCGTGTGATTAAGTGACGTCACTCGCAAGTCAACCTCACATAATCACACAAGGCGTTCATGAACATCGTTCACACCATACTCAGTAGTAAACATACATAACAACATCACATCATAGATTGAATGAATAGCGGAAAATATTCAACGGTCAATCATAAGCCACATATGGCAAAACGTAGGCTCGCAGGCCAAAACAATGTAATCTTACAAAAGTATCCATGAGCATAGTTTATGATTTAAAATAATAAAGGAAGCACGAACCACGTCTTCCTCTAGATTCTTTCCACTCGTGCAAAGGTGTAGACAACAGGCTCTAGCTTCAACCTGAAATGGTGGGCCCCCCGAAGGGGTCAGTACAAGTACCGAGCGAGTAGCAAGCTAAATGTAGAGTAACTAACGTTTCAAGTATAAGACCCAAACATAGGGTGATACATATACTTATACTTCCTTACCCCAAGTTACAAAATACATATCAGTACTTATATACACTTGGAAATACCCGACCCGTAGGTCATTATTTAATTGAAAAAAATAATAGTAGTCAATGTCCTTGACTTAAAACCCCAACCCACCCATAGACCTGTGAGTGTATAGGACTCCTCTTGTCCAGATCAAATAACCATAAGGACATCGCCCGGTCCTGAATTTCTAAATAGTAATCTATGAGTTTTGAGGATACACGCCCGATCCTTGGGTACTCCACCCTATATAACTGAGTTTTGAGGATATCGCCCGATCCTTGGGTACTCCACCCTATATAACCGGGTTTTGAGGATACCGCCCGATCCTTGGGTACTCCACCCTATATAACCGAGTTTTGAGGATACCGCCCGATCCTTGGGTACTCCACCCGACCTATGATCTACCACATATCATACTAGATAGGGCCTATATCATAATCAATAAACAAGACTAGACCAAGTCTTAAGGTCTAAACAAAATCATCCATGCAACTCATGCATTAAAATTAGCATATAGGTAAAGTAAGGCCAAATCGGCATCGGTCAACTCTTGGTTGACCGCCATTCCAAATCCAATGCGTGTCAAACTTAGTCACAATATGTACTAAGTTATAAATAACTATTTTATGCACATTTCATCTCTAAACATATCACATATGTTTTTATGAGCATTTTCACTTCACAAATCAAGCATATTTCAATAGTTCACTTCATACAAGCCTAATCACTTTAATTGGCTAATAACATGTTTAATTCATTTAATCATTATTATGAACACACATACCATATACTTAGGTAATCTCATGCTTAGCCCAAAAGTTACAAGACATTAAACCATCCACTCACCTCAAATGAGCTTTAGGAAGATTCTACTTTTCTTAGTTGAACTCCGGCGAACTCCGGCGAAACTCTGGCGAAATCTAGAACTACTTTAGTCAAGCTCCTAACATGTTTTTATCATTACAAAACCCATATCAACACAAATAACCCCTAAAAGGTTATTTTCCGACGAACCGGTCGTTTTGGCTTCTAAGTCTGTTCTTGGACTTAGAACTACTTTCCAACCCCTCATTCTACACTTATAAACATGTAGAACAATCCTAGGGGTCCTTCATATGCTATATAAGCCATATGATAAATGAAAAGTAGAGGAAAAGTTATTATGAGGTTATTACCTTAATGCTTCACAATTTTGCTAACTTTTTCCTTCTTAAATCCTCCTCTTTGGACCACTATGGCTAGTGCTCGAATTTGGGTGTGAAAAGGGTGAGTTGCAGAGCTTCCTCTTGCTATCTTGGTGAGCTTGGGAGGATGAATGGAGGTGGTGAGGGGAGAGAGGTAACTTTTGTCTCATTTAGACAAATGAGTGAGGTGAAGGTCCACCTTTGATCCTTTCTCACACAATACATCACCCTCAGCCCCCACCCCTTCTCATTATTCACAGCCATAATTTGACAATATCAACACCCAAAAACGTGAGGTGGCCCCCACTCACGTGGGAGATCATCCCTTTATGTCCCGAAATGTACAATCGGCTCCGAAAGTTGTATTTCTCAGACTGTTTTTAACTATATTTTATTTTATCAGGTCAAATAAAATTTATTAAGTGTCCTCCATCATTATGGGTCTTTAGAACGAATCTACATACCCCAACTTTAATTTAGAAGTCTCCAAAATTCGTTTCGGACTGTTATCCGATAATTTACTAATACCGGTAATTGGGCCTCGTCTGGCCAACGGGTCAACCTTATGCCCTTTCTATGGCCCAATTA